AGACAGTGTGATGGCTTCAGTACTGCCTTTTTGTTATAAATACAATGTCTTCTGGGCTGTTGTTTAAAGACTCCTTTGGAAGCCTGATTTAATAGTGGAGCTGAGTGAATAATTCAAAACCTTTTTATCAAGTCCTTGTTTAAATTCTTAAATGAGCTCACCATAACCTTTTTATGTACCCCTCCTGCATGTGTCATACAAATATTAGAATAATTGAATTTTACTAGTGCAAATGTTTCTGTGAAGCAAATTTTTAGAGCTTGATGTACGACTGTTTATGTAAAGGGGAATGTAAAATCTCACACACCAGTGTCTATGCCAGAAACTTGTACTGGCTTAGGGGGACGGGACCCTCTGCTTTTGTTGGAGCAATCCTAATTGAGCTGTTTTGTCAGATTGACTCATTTTGCAGTTTAAAAACTGAACACATGTATTTAAAGGAATTTCAGAGATATCTCTCTTTCAGGCCATTCTACAAACAGTAGCAGTACTTAGTTTAAAATATTTGCCTTTTTTTTTTTCCAGATAAGTACTATTTCTAACTCTTTCTCCTTTTCTCCCCCCTTTACATGAGATGAAACAGCACATTCAAAATGCATCTGCTTAGCATCACTGGGTAGCTTAACACAGGGATGCAGACCAGAGAAAATCTATAGTCACCTTCCAAGTTTGGTCATCTCTTGGCTTGAAGTCCAGTCCAGGCTAGAGGAGAGCGTCCCAGATAGGTAATTTGGGTGGATTTAGTATGGCTGCTCACATGTATTAATGTTTGCAGACTTGCTTGTAAAAGCTCATTAGTGTTAAGTCACTTTTGAGTACTGATGGTCTTTAAAAGGCAAATAATAGCCTTAAAACCAGGATATCTGGAGAACTGGTATTCATTTGTCTTCAGCTTCTGAAGAAAAGTGGAAGACTTGAAAATTGAAAGCCGGCTTGAGAAGCAGGGGTTGAGGATTAGGTAAGCAGCTGAGTGAGTGATGCTGTATTCTCAGTGGAGAGTTGTTGTTTAATTGGTTACAAGAATTTAGTCAAGGCTGTTTATTCTGTTCGCACACAAACCTTCTCCTGTACATGCTCTGGCAACCCTCTAAGCTTCCTGGCACCGCTGAGCCTGTGCTGCAGCTTCCCTTGGAGAGGAGATGGAGAACTCATACTCTTTCAATGCATCACGAGTTTGCAAAGCCTGATTTGCCTGTACAGGGTTTGCTCTCTGAATTTTGGATTTCTTTGCTGATTTTTCTGAACTCTGATGAAACCACCTTTAACCGTCTAAATGTCGTTGCCATAGAACTGCCCAGGAACGTGCTGAACTGCAGCCACTGGTAATGCCTCATGCCCCTCACAATGTATGCAGAAATCTGGAATTGCAGGCTTGTGTGGCAGGGCAGATTCTTGCGGTGACAAAGAAACTACTATTGAAATATTCTGTTGCCTTCAGTTGCAGCTATCCCAAGTCTAGCAGTACAGATGCATCTGTGTATCCGTAGCCAGGCCTATGAGAAACATAACATGGTCTTTAGAAGTAGGAACTTTTGGTTTTTGGGGTTATAAAGAAAACCCCGAATCCTAAACCCCAGCATGATCACAACAACCAACCTTGTATTTGCAGAAGACAGGCAGTGAAATGTAAGAGCCAAGTAAACCTGTTCTTTTTTGGCCTTCCTGAAACTGTCAGATGTGTAAAGTCGTGTTTTAACTGAACAAAATGAGTTGCATCCAGCTCTATCACAGTGGGCATGGGCCTCTTGTTGTGGTTTTCTTGTAGTCTGTCAGCTTGAGTGGGAAGACTGTTCAGACTTAGTGTGACTTCCTCACATCAGCTGTTGCAACTGGTGCAGCTGGGTCTTAATCAAGTTGAAAAGGGACATCTAGTCCATGCCTCTTCATTTCCTTGTAATGCAGTGAATATGAGCTGTAATTTGCCAGCGTGGGTTCCTCAGACCTGAAAACAAACGAGAAGTTTTGGGTGGACTTTTGTGGCTTGTTTTTAATTAAATATTGGTGCAACAAGAGTTGTTTTGTGACAAGAAAGACCCAACAATCTTCCCAAACATGCGGAACAAGCAGGCTATGTCTTGTCATCCCATTACGACATTCCCACTGTAGGAAACACCCTTTGTGCTTTGATAAGCTTGTTCTTATTCGTAGTGGGAAACTGTAAATTAACATGTACAATTGCTTTTGTGCATGAGGTTTATAACAGTACATTGTCTCTTCAGGTTTGTGTTGCAAAGCCTGTCTGAAGATAGGTGAGCAGTATTACTCGTATTTACTGTGGGGGAACCTGACACTTGGCAGCTTTTTCTGAGATACCCACTAAATCTGAGTGTTTGCAGAGTTTGCTGTAGTTTATGATTGAAATTGGTGATTGCAACAGGCAAGATTCCCACTGCAGCACAAAGTGGGGAGAGCAGATGCCAGCTGAGCTTTGCCTTGAGTGATGTGTCTGAAGAGATACAGGTTGGTGGCATAAAAGAAAGTCACTGTTGTCTCCTGGTTCCCTAATTCTTTGATCACTGAGAAGAAATTATATGACCACTGAGCAAACTGATCAGTACAGTTTATGCTGAAGTTTTGTATGGTGTATATTTATTATAATAACCTAAAGGTGAAATTGGATCAAAATAAGCTCTGGATTTTGTTGTAGCTTGTTGCTTTTTGGTTGCATATGGATATTCTGCAAAGCAAGAGGTAGTTGATCAGCCTTGTCCCTATTTACTTAAGTACCTTTAATACTTCACCCTACACGTGGTGACCTGTGGACTGTCTTTGCTGAATCTTCATGCTATTCTAGATTTGTTTATACTCTCTTTCTACTCAGTAGAGATTTACACTCTGTCCTTGTCTGATTCAAAATGGTGTTCAAAAATGCATCACTTGACATTTAAGTCTGTCTCATTCATATAACAGTGCGTTGAAAAACAGTTTATTATTTTTGCTTATATTGATCTTATCTGGCATTGTCAGAGGGGAAAACAGTTAATGACTTGATGTGTGTTCAGACTGGATGGAGTAATGATGAGGTATAGCTGAGTTATTTTCTTTCTTTTAAAGCTGCATTTGATTTTCTGCTGTGGATATTTTGATTCTTGTTTATTTTTCTCCTTCGTTTGGAGAAGAATAGTCTGGGAGAGGGGAAGGAAGAGGCAGGGTTTACCCCTGTAACCATCATTGTTAGCCCTAACTTCTGGTAGAGTTTTGCTGCTTTGACTTGACCTTTTTAAACTTGAGAAATGTGTTTTTGTTTGCATTTCCATCTTGTTGCATTTAAAAACTGTTCTAACTATACCAGAGTGTTTGAACATTAATGGGGGAATGTTTTTCAGAGTCTTGATAGAATTTCCAGGCAGCTTTTCATCCGCCAAGTACTATACTGGGCTCTCTTGTGGGGTTTTGCTTGGTTTGCCTTAAGAATGTGCAAAGCAACTGTTCAAAATTGCTGACACATGTTAAGTAATTTGGAAATCACCATCTTTCTCCATTGATGTCTGAGAGTGCTCATGTTGGCAATAAGAACAGGATCTGACCCTGAAAATGATTTGTGAACAGTCTTAGTCTTGAGACCAATTATAGGCACTGTCTTCCCTCTGAGTCTGGCTAGTTTATCCTTACAGTCTTAGTTATTCTATTTTTTTAAAAAAATTATTTACTCAATCTCTTTAAAAAATATCCTCTTCTGCCTTTTCCATGTATTTTTGAATTATTCAACCACATGTGTGTATTTGGTGATGCCAACTTAAGAGTAAAATGTAGTTGAGTATCAGGAGAGTTAATGCTACTTCTAACAGTAGTGGTAGTGGTATAATGCTTATTAATGAAAAATCCATCATCTTCCACCTCCCTCCTCCAAACCTCTACTTTTCAACTTGGGAGCAGCTGTAATCAGCCTGTACAACTTCCCTTCCTCCTCTCATGAATAAATCCAACTACCTTATCTTCTCTATCGGAAAGTCTTCCTTGGCTTTAACGGCCTCTGGAGGAGCATATAAAAGGGGCTTTCACTGGCTAACAGGAAGCAAAATGAATGGAGGAACTTTTGATAATGCCCCTCTGTCTGAGGGGGGGGATCAGCCCGACTAAATTGTACCAGATTAGTGAATGACAGTGCTTCAGCCAGGGCCAGAATTATAAGTTTTTAATCTTGGAACAAGCAATGATTTCTTCCTCCTAAACAGTGGTCAACTCCCTCTTTGATTTGGAGCCTTGCAGTCATCCATATTCAGTTAGTTTGTGTGTGTGGTTTCTGGTTTCTTTTCTTTTTCTTTTTCTTTTTTTTTTTCAGTCTGCATTCATGACTCTCAACAAACCTTGAGGGCTTTTTTTGGTAGCAGTGATTTTTGGTAAGACCTGTCGTGGCCACATGCCATTTTTACCAGCAATTCACACTGTGCCTTTTATTTTTATGCGATAATGACGTCTCGTATATCACAGCTTTCTTAATATTGTTCCGTCTTTTGCTGCCTTAGAGTCTTTTGCAATTAGCCCTGGGGTGATTTGAGTATTTTTTTAATAAGCAACATTTTTGGTTCTGGCCACCTTCAGCCTTACTCTGTGTGTGTGTGTGTGTGTGTGTGTGTGTGTGTGTGTGTGTATTTGACTCCTCGCTTCTCACCCCACAGCTTGGTCCACATTTTCTGATAATCCAGCTCGGTGGGAGGGAGAAATGACTGAAAATCTAAATGAGGCAGCTTAGCTAATTGCCTTAGGCCTGACTCGTCTGCTGGATAACACTAGTTTTATTGCAGTCCAATGTGATTGACATTTGGGGAATTGCACTGGTATAATGCTGGCAGCAGCAGTGAAAAATCTGCCCTATTGTTTCTGATACATTTGCTGCCTGAGGAGCACCTTTTTGTTACAAATAACTATCTGAAATGCAACTAATGGAGTGAATGTACTTCTTTTTCTTTAAGTCACTGACTTTTCAAGTTCCTGAGGAAAAAAGTGAGAGCATTATCCTACTTACTAAAAGTTTGCCTTTTTCTGTGGTTTTTTTTCAGACTTTTTTTCTTGGATTTTATTACTGGAAAACTCTCTAATGACAACATTGCTTAGGTAAGTGGAGCAAGGTTTTTTCTGTGGTTTTTTTTTTTTTTTTTAGAATCACTTCCCCTATCTTAACTTCTCTGTGTGTTGTGTTGTAATGTCGAGCTGCCAGCCAGCTGTGCTGCGTGTGCTGTGGTTAAGGCTAGAAAGATGTAGTAAACAAAAGTAGGGGTAGTGCCTCCAGTATGACATAAGGATCTCATTTATTCATTTAATCAAATGAAGTGGACGTGGTGCAGAATAATGAAATACAGCTTTCATCTGCATGTTACTCCCTAGTCTCACCAATTTATAAAAAAATTTTTCAGGAGATGCTCTGCTTTTTTTTTTTTTTCCACTAGAAAGTAAACTTGCTGGTATCACTTAATGCCATTTTGTTATGAAATGGAACCTTAATACTTCCAGATTTTTAGATACAGTTGCTCTTCCTCCATCCCTTTTTCTTCCCTGTTTCCCTCAACAGTTCTAGGTAGGAGTGTCTGACATGGAGAGATCATGAAAAGCTTCAGAGTTTTATATTTTTTTAGCCCAAAAGGTGGAAGATCCCAAACAACTTTAACACTCTACTTTCATCTCTAAACCCCATCTATACCACTAAAATGCTAAATTCAAGTGATTAACAGGGTTTCTGGGTGTTGATTGCAAACACACACGTGGTCTTTACTGCTTCTAAATACCTTCTCAAACCCATTTTCTGTGCCGTTCCATAGCACAGGGACATTCTCCTGAGTGCAAATCCAGTGCCATAGTGCCTTTAGTGATGGGTGGAAGAATTAAGTGTGCTGCTATACCAAAATGGACTTTATGTTCCTTTCTCTGTGATGGAGAGATCTGATTGACCTCTGATGCAAGACAGAAAGTTAATCCCCAGATACACAGCTAATTTGATGTATTAGTTGGAATTGCTTGTGATTCTGGATGAGGCCAAACAGTGACTGCAGTATTCACACAGGAATATAGTATCCTAAAATCTGTACTGACAAAGATAAAAGTGCTGCTGCTCTTTGTGAAGTGCCTGTGAAAGGGTTTTCTTTTTTTCTCTCTCTGCTTTCTGCTGCTGGGTTTATAGCAGTACCCGTCCTCTTTCCCTTTTCATCTCCTTACAGTGGATGGTCAGTGTGGAAGCTACTGGCCTCTGTACCTTGAGATGATGGACCTCAGTGAAATAAAATTGATTCAGTCTTAAAGCAGAAGTCTTCTCCAATCTGCTTATCCCCAGTGTTTGTCCCTCAGGAGAGTGTATAGGTCTTTAGCCTGAAAATCTCATTTTAGCCAAATAGAAAACTCCAGAGAGGCTTTTGGGTTCCCTTGAGGTTTACATTTAGGTAGCTTATCTGAATTTATCTCTCTGCCATTCCTTTGTTGAGGTACTGTGAACTCAGGCTATGTGGTGTGTCATGGCTTTTGTATTTTCCAGAAAGACACAGGAACTGGCTGGTGGCCTCCAAGCTATGGGTGCTCCAACAGAGGTGGACCTTGTAGTTCTGACAGATGGTCTGCCTGGTGGTTTGCTAAACTGCAAGCTGGAGTGGGCTGTGAGACAAAGCTGGATGTGCTGGCAGCCTTTGCATTTTACTAAATCAGAGAAAAGACCTTAGCAGAGCCATATGTAGTGCATGTCTGAGGGAGATTGTTGCCTGTGATCCATCACTGTGTTGCCCATGAGATGCTCTTGCCTGTCACAGTGCACTTGTGGTTCCCCCATGTCTCCTTCAACTGCTTGAGGAGTGACTAATTTGCAGCCTAAGGCTGTATTTATTGATGCCACTGCCTGTCTAGAGGGTGGAGAGGACTCTGCAAACCAGGGAAATATTTAGGCAGCAGTTTTAAATCCTTTTAACTTTGTATATTAGACACATCTATGAATATATGCAGACTGAACTAATAAATAACCAGGGAATGGTAGTTAAGAGGAAAGGACATAATTAATTCTGTCATGTACTCTGCTTTAAAGTTGGGTCCAGAGCAGTAATGTGTTAGGTTGGGAAGGTAAACACTGTCATTATTCAACAACAAAACATGTACAAGGCTGACACTGTTTTCCTCCTTTTGATATAATAATTTTTTGCAATGGTTTGAATATCTTCGGTGGTCTGTGTTTGGTGTGGTAGAAGCCTGTTGAAGCCGTACCCTTTCTGAAGGGTCAGTACTCCTTTATTTGAATTGAGTTTTGTATTAATGCTGCTTTGCTGACACAGAACGTGTGCTGTTCCAGAAGGCTCTTACTGTTTGCTGCGGTTGGGGTGCTTGGCTGTAATTCCTGCAATATAGTTTGGAGGGAGGTATTTCTGTTTCATCAGGTGATCCCTTTTCAACTCTCCACACTGCAGTGTTAACCCAGGTCAAATGTCCGTGTAAAAAAAAAAAAAAAAAAAAATCCTTTTTGTGGGGATACTGTTAAAAAGCCAATATGAGTCTGTTAACTTGTATATCTTTTCCCCCCCCCCTCCCTCTACACCAGAGTGCAGAGAAAAGGTTTGACTACAGCAAATGCAACTTTATGTGGTCCTCAAGGTTAACGTTTGGGTTTTTTTAGTGGGGAAAGGAATATGGGGGAATCCTTGCTTTACGTCTTAAAACATTTAAAGCTGCTGTGAGAATGATGGTCTCTTAGCTAAAAGGAATAACTGTCATTAGTTGTCATGGTAAAAAGTTACATAAAGCAAGGTAGTTAACTTTTCAGCTTGCATGATAACTGATCATAGGAAAATAAACTAAAGTGCTTGTAGTTTCAAGCTCTCCCCTTGTTATTTCTCACAACACAGCCTTTCCCCATTCCTTCACACTTCTCATTTTAACAAATTTCTTGATGTGTAGTTAAACATACTGCAAAAAAACAAGCAAAGACTTCATACACCTATTCTTGTCTTAACCGTGCTCCACACAACCCAGCCTAAATATCAGAAGATCACTTGAGTTTGCATAAGTGAAGATACATGTATCTGAAAAGGGGTGGTGTTGTGCAACCTCTCAGTGCCTCTTCCTGTGGAGTTTTCTTACAAGTTCTGCAGTTCTGGCTCTTCCAGCAGAAGTCTTGGGCAAAAAACACTCATGGAGACACCAGAGGAATAGCTGATGCAGCTCAGCAGCCACCTCCTAAAATAAATGGTGGAAGGTTGCCTGTTTCTCTTAGCAATATTTTCTTTGGAAGACAAGCATCTCCTCAGCATGTCCTTGGCTCTCTGTGTCTCCCTAGCAAACTATAACACTGAATACTCCTCCTTCTACTGGTCACAGCTCAATTTAGATGTTCTTGATTTAAACTATTTCTGTGCTCCTTCAGGGTTTATTGCTTCTGATTGCAGATAGCTTGCAAAACTCCCAGGAGTTCAGAGCAGAAGGGAGTCCTTCCTTTGTAGGGATCCAAAAGAAGTTGCATGTTGTCAACTTGCACAAGATCTTTCTTCAAAGTATGAAAAGTTTTTTTTTAGGGGGAGGGATCTGTTAGAAAATTATTAGCCCTTGGTGGGTGGCATGAGCAGCATTGACTGGAGGGGCTATTGTTCTGTGGTTCATGTGCTGTTTATTTTGCAGCCAGTGATCTTTTTGTATTGCTGAGGCAGATGGAGGGATTCCCAGTTCCACAAGCATAACCCTGGGAGAGATTAGTTGGTTTTAGGTTTCACCACTTGGATGATGAGGTTAGCCTGAGACAGAGATGCATCCCTGTGTGTGGAAATGGTCTTGGCCCAGATCTTGTCTGGCGATGTAAAGCCTGAGAAAGGACCAAGAGGTCAACTTCAGCTTTTTAAAGAATGTGATGTATGTTCATCTTGTGGCATGCATGGACTGTGCTTTTTTGTTTCAAAAAGGGTAAAAAATTTAGTTACAAGCTCATGTGTTTTTTTAAAATGCTCTAATTAGAGCTACAATTAGGCTCTAAAGTAGAGCCTACCTTACAGCTACATAAATATTTATATCTGTGATACTGAAACACTAATGATAAAGAATCCCAAGGGGTTTTTTCATAACCACAAAGCAAAGAACATTTCTTTCAGTCTCTGCCTCTTAGCACCTTTCTTCCACTTTACCTGATTCCCTCCTACCAAGCTAAGCAACATCTTAAATATGAGCACACCAGGGTTTCATTTTTTTTTTTTTGTATCAGTAGCAGTCTTAAGTAATTACTCTGCAGTTCTAATACTTCTTACAGAAGTGAGCTCCTCTGCTTGTGTCAGTTAGAGGTCTGGCATTTTGATGGTGTGTAGCAAACTGATGCTCTGAAACAAGCTAAAATGGACAGAAGCTTGTTTCCTTTTCGCTCACATGGGCACTTATTCACTTCCCCATCTGCTTTGACTTTGAAGACTGCTGAGGTTCTTCCTCTGTCTGACCCACTTGGCATAAGCTAGAGAGGATTATCTTTCTCCAATAGCCAAGTTTATAGGGCTTCAGCTTGTTCGTAAATAATCCTTAGAGTTTTCAGTGCTGCCTTTCTTCTTCTTTCCCCTTCGAAACTGACTTGCTGTCGTTTGTGTACAAATAGGGGAAATGCTTTTTCAGTCTCTAGATAGAGGGGAGAGTTGGTGCAGTCACTAGGCAAGAGGGCATGGAAAGTGCACTGAGGAGGTTTCACTAAATATCCACGATTTTAAATATTTCTTTTGTGATTTCTGTTTGTGGCCCTAGCAAAAGAGAGGATCATCTGTAGAGGAGATCTTTGCTCTGCTGCTCCTTGTGCGAGCACAATTCCAGAGTACAGTCAGTGAGAGACAAAACACAGGACCTGCATATAGAGAGGCATCTTTATAGAAACATGGCATTTTTTAATGTACTTGAGAGAAGGAGAGTGTGTTGCTCTGTCTTTGCTTTCACACTTGAGTACCTGCACCGGTAATTGGTTTGCATGCGTGAATGGTTATTTTAGGGTTGCATTAAAACTCACTTTCAGCTTTACTGAAGATAATTTCTTTTTAATCTGAAATGGAAAGTTGCAATGTTGCTGTGTTTGGGCTGTTGGGTTACAACTGTGGTACGTGTGCAACTCTTAACTACTTTGGGACTCTCTG